GATATAAGGTAGCGCTCCCAACGACCTCCGTTTACTCCATTTCACGCATAGCAATGTCATATCATCGGTGTCACTCACCTTCTATAGCGGCCCATATTTACACTTTCAGCCTAAACAATCCCGTTTATTTATTGTTAAACAATATCACTCGAAAACAAACGACCCCCGGTAACTCACATACGGAACGTCAGAACAACGCGAGCCAAAACCGAATCCGAGTCCGAATGACGCATAGAGAAAAAAAAATCGCGCCATTAACGTAACAATGATATAGATGCGATGGTGCATTCTCTCTTTTTACGTATTGTTTATAATTAATTAATTAATTAAAACTATTAAAACTAAAAAATCCGGATGATGATTCTAAATAATTTTGAACGCAGCCAAGCCAGTGAAAATTCAAAATTGAATTTTGACCAATGAGAACAAGAAATTTTGTTCCTTTTTTATTTTGATTGGTCAAATTTCGATCTTTCAATCTTCAATCTATCTTTAATGCGTCAGAGGCCGGTATTGGACTTGAGGCTGAAATTGATCAGGATTGAAATTTAACTAATCAAAACAAAAAAAAATTAAAATTTCTTTGTCTTTATTGGTCAAATTTCAATCTTTAATGCATAGTCTGATTCCGGCTTAACACGAATAGATTTAGATCGGTTCGGCAATGTAAATCTAAAATGCGAGCTAGCAGATAGTAACAGCTTGATCACGTGATCTTTGAGCAAATCGAGTGCGGAAAATTAATTTCGAACGAAACAAAGCATCATCTTTCTTTCTTTTCTCTCCAGGAGAAGAGAAAAGGAAAAATGATGAACTGGCACAAAAGTTCAGCCAAAATGAACAGACCTATATAGTGTCATTTAAGATTATGATAAATGTTAAAAATTTCCGGCCGTCTCAAATTTTGATAAAAATGGATTCAATTAATACGTTCTCGCGTAAAAATAAAGCTTTGACAAGAAAAAGCTATATATCAAGCTATATATCAAGAAAATAAGCTCTCCTATTGGATATCGGACACCGTACGTCGGATGTCGGACGCAGTGTGAATCCTACATTACGACGTGCGCCAATCGGATTTACGAACTCCACAAGTGAGACACATTTACCGACCGAGTTGAGTATAAACTGCATTATCGGGCAACGATAACACAGGTGTACGCCTGCGCAGATGAATATGCGCACAAGTCAAAAACATATCGGCAGCGCATGCACGCATACATGAACGATCATGGGCATGATGGGCACCCTCACAGATATCGTAGAGCTGCGAACGAGGAAGGGATTCTCCGCTAACCAGTGAACCATTTTTCTGTCGTCAAACGGATCAAGCTTTTTGTGAGACTTGGATCGATCACAAAAAGCGGGATTCGCTTTTCGCATAGGAATTGGCCTGACGAGGAGCCGGCACATCATCTTCTCCACGCAGTCTCCCCGAAAATCGTAAGTGCGAAGGACGCGTGTTCGTCCCCCCGGTGAATTCGGGCCCGCCGAGATCGAACCGCCACCGCGTAGCGGACGATATGTACATACATATACACGCACACATACGCGTGGCAACCGGTCGACGTCGGTGGCAATCGTTTTTCTGAAAATCGTCCCGTCGTCACCGTCGCCGAAAGCTGCGAGGCAACGTCGCGTACACGGTCTACGGTGCGTCAACGTACGTTCCACGCGCGACGACACCCTGTCCCCGGCATGTTCCACGCGTATTTCCGTTACGGTCAATCGATGGGTTCTCTGTAACAGTCATGGCGGCCATGCCGGTCGCCCTCGCGGTCTCGGAACATCATTGACCGCGTCGACGGTAAGACGCGATTCCGACGCGTTTTACAAGCGGACGCCGCGTGCCAACTTTCTCATTCGGCGGGGTGTCCGACCGCGGATTGATGACGATGCATTAATTGCCGCTTCGTAGCGACCGGAAATCCGGAGTAAATCCAGAATAATCGCTGTGATTTTGGTATTTATAGCGAGATAACCGAGGGTGAAATCGTGAAGGGCGCACGAGGACGCTAATTGACTCCTACATGCATTGTCGTTCGCCAAGATGGATACAGATGTAAGGAGGGAGGGAGAGGATACGAGATAAATTTTGTTCTAAAATCCTAAATGTTATCTTTGTGCTTGTTTCTATCGATATCTCTTTTTAGTTCTAATAATTTGATAAAGATAAAAAAAGGTAAACTAAGATTAAAATTAATCTATATTGACAGAAACGGACACTAAACTCGCTAGGTAAATAGAGCAGAGAGAGGGGGAATGTTGTTAGATTCTATTCTTCACATTGTGAATCTAACTCCAGCTTTGTATATCATCAGTTGTTTTGACTTTGGAGGAAGGTTAAGGCTTGATAACATTTGTGATTTCTAGAACACAATGGAGGAAATTCATCAACCAACGCAGGTCGTGCCTACTAACATGATGCCTGGTGTGGGTGGCGTTCCTAATCATTCAAATAATGTCAATCGTCGTAATAGAGTTCGTGTAACATTACATGCTATGATGTTAGAGAAACTTCCATTACACGAGGCGGCACGTTTGGAAATGAAGTCGTTACCCAGCAAAACACCTGTCTCTGTTCTACAGGAATTGCTTTCTCGTAGAGGCACAATACCCAAGTATGAACTTGTCCAAATTGAGGGAGCTATTCACGAGCCTACATTTCGATACAGAGTCACCGTTACTGATGTCGTTGGTTTGTATAATTTATTGTGCATGTATCGTCATGCATAACAATGTATTGTTAATTGATAAATACATAACTATTCAGAAACAGATCCAATTGTTTCAGCAATGGGGACCGGTAGGTCCAAGAAAGAAGCTAAACACGCTGCTGCAAAAGCTGTGCTAGATAAATTAATTGGTGTGAATACTGATGGTGTGGAATCACCAATTCCAAATAGTTTACCTGAGTAAGCATAAATTATGCTTAACATATTTGTCCTTTTTGCAATCTGGGTCTTTTTTAGGATTGGCGAATTTTTACTCTCAAATTTCTTTGAAAGTTATTAAATAAAGGAAAGCAAAATTGAGCTCTTTTATTGTTAAGTTGTTTTTTAAAACATTTTTTCATTATTCAAATTTCAACTTTTGTTAAGTAAAAATTTTGAAATTTATATTGAAAGATCTAGATGAATAAAATAAAAATGTGATTGTAGGAGGATTAAAATCGTAAGCAAGAACACATGTAGAATAAAATAATGTTATGCATTTTTTTATGTAGCTCACAAAATTTACAAGAACTGCAGACATATGGTGAGGAGAAAATAGTGAACAATCCAATCGGAGCCTTACAAGAAATGTGTATGTCGCGCCATTGGCCACCTCCAAAGTATTCAATGGAGGGTGAAGAAGGTTTACCTCATGAACGACAATTCACTATTGTTTGTTCAATTCTAAAATATCGCGAAGTCGGTCAAGGCAAAAGTAAAAAAGTTGCAAAGAGGCATGCTGCTCATAAGATGTGGCAAGCTTTACACGAAATGAATAACCAAGCTCCCAGTGTAGATGAGGATGAGGTAAGAAAGCTCCCGTTTCATCAATTATTATATTAGAGAGATGATAAAAAATTATTTATTCTTATATATCGTAAGAATATGTAATTTAATCCATATTCATCACTGTTATGACATTTGAATTTTTCAACTTCTCTTGTATTCCACCTTGACTCTATTGAATAAAGTTATTCCATTCAGAAAAATAAGTATAAAAAAAGTACAGCTAAAAAATATAATTAGAAGGATAATACTTCTACAATAGCTGCTCAGACATTATCACAAGAATTAAGAAGTATGAATGATTAATGACTTATTTTAAATTGGATGTTATGTATGCATATATGCATATGAGTGTGTGTATTTAGAGAAGTGGAAATGATTTTGGTTTTAGTGCCACTTTATTAGTTTGTTCTTTGTAGCTGAACTAATATACTCGTATTTAAACTCAAATAGATATATTTGAAACTTAATAAGAACAATATACACTGAAACGTCATAATAGCGTGTGATTTAGGAGTCTCGATACTATAACGAGGTTACTTCTATTTCAAAATAATAAAAAATTCAAGATTTTAGCAGCTACTGCTACTCCCCACTCAAGTTGTACTTAGTACAGAATGGATTTAACGTATTACTTTGTAGTTTGCTATTATGAGATTTCAGTGTTGAAAGTTTTAATGCAAGCTAATCCAGCGACAAAGAACAAGTCTTTACATAAGAGCTATCTTTCCGATCTTTAAATCTATAACGGACCATTGTTTGGATAATATCACATTTCAGTGTAACTTTCGAATATCTTTGTATATTTTATCTTTTGAGAGTAATTATGCTTGGATCATATCCACTTCATTTAAGTATTTATATAAATATGAAGTAGTTAAAGCATTCATAACATAAATGCTTACAATAAATTTTACATGTATATATTAATTGTCCATTATAGATTGTGCAAAGAAACGCTAATGTGAACGCCCGTTATGCTGATCTGAAAGGTAGCAAAATTTCAACACTGACAACAATACATAGTATCCAAGTTTCGAAATTTCACAAGAGTCTCAAGTCGTCCACAGGTGTTAAACTTTTCCAATTGCAGGTTTGTATCCAAGTGCGAGGAAGAATATATTGTAATTGTTGTTCTCTTGTTTGTTATCAAATCGAAAAGAAATTATTCGTTTATCTCTATGATATCGACTTAAGACTACAATCGATTGCATGTAAATTATTCTAATTTTATTTCAGAATACTTGTTTCAACGATGGGGATGTAAATTTGGTACAATTTTTACAAGAAATTGCGTCAGAGCAACAATTTGAAGTAACCTATGTTGATATTGAAGAGAAATCTATCAGTGGTAAGTTTATCAATGGTATATATATATAATAATATGAAAACCCGATTTAATTTAAATATAAATATATAAATAGCTTTATAAATAGATTTATAAGGTTTTAGAAATAACAGTGTAGATTAAAATTACATTTTTCTTTATTGTTTTATTTATTATGCAGTAAGTACAATATCGACAGGTACATCATTCTCATTAACAGGAATGTCTTCTTGTATTTGTTCTTTAAATCCTACTGCAACCAGATATGGCTTTATGTCTTTTTGAAAACATCTTTTTAAATACTTGTCGTAATAACCCATTCCATGTCCTAAACGTTTACCTAATCAACAATAAAGACCATACAATTGTATGCAGGATTATAAAATGATTAATATGTATTGTGTAAAACTTACCATTCACTGTGAAAGCAACACCTGGTAAAATTATTAAATCTAATCCACCTATAATAAAAAATCAATACTGTTAAATATGTAATATCATTAAAATTATTAAACAATGAATTTACAAAATAACTTATCAAAAAATATATTATATTTTTATTATTGTTTGGTTTATCATAGAATTTACCTGTTTTTAATGCATTTTCATAACTTTCAGTAGCACTTGGTTGTTTAATGTTCCATTTTGTTAGTGGCAATGTCTCATAATCTTCCATTGATTTTAGTTTTACCATTTCCATAGTTTTTCCCTGATATTGCGGTACAAATGCCTCTTTTCCCATATCAAATATATGTTTCAAAATGGGCAAAGTGTCGATTTCATCTTTAGTACTCAAATACAAAGAAATTCTCTTGCTATTTTGATATTGCTTTAACTGGCATAGCTGCAAATAATAATATTACAAATATATTATGCAAAAATTATATTGTACATGATTTGTATTTGCATTCAAACATAACCTCTTCAATGAGCCAAGAGCCTCTGGCTCTTAGAGATTATTGATTTGTTTATTTCTCTCAATCTCACCTTTTTAAATACAATTACAGATTGCTCCTTTTTTTCTTCTAAGCTAATATTTTTAAGAATATCCTTAATTTCTTTTCTTAAAGCTCTTTTAGTTGATGTTAAAGCTGCCATATTGTAAATTGTTCTCTTCCTTATGGATCACTCCTGCTACTGCTTATAAATAACATTTATTTTTTCTTTTGAGTATATGTGTGTTCAACTTTACTAAGCATAATTTTATCTGAGTTTAGCAATGTTTACATGCTATCTATAACTTCTTTTATTATCTTTTAATGTCATATGTTATCATGAATCATGACGCAAATTTTGATCAAGATTGCCTAATTAATTGTGTATGTTAAAAGATAAAAATTATTTATGGACAATGCTACAGAAATAATCTAAACATTATATTATTCTATTTTCTAGGTAAATTCCAGTGCCTTGTGCAACTGTCTACCCTGCCAGTGGCAGTTTGCTATGGTTGCGGCGCGACTAGTAAAGATGCTCAAGCCAGTGCTGCTCAAAATGCCCTGGAATATCTGAAAATCATGACCAAGAAGTGAGCCAGCGCTTTGCTCCTGCCAGTCACTATCACCTGCAAGCCCCGTAATCTGGCATCTAATAATCTGAATAGTAATACAAACATCAAAGTATTATCAGCCAAAAATCAGATTTCTGATAAAGGAAAAAGCGGTCAGAATTATATGGGAAATAAGAATAGGACATCCAAGTTATCTGTTAAGGTAACAAACACTACAGTGGGCAACAAAGATGCTACTTTGCACACCATTGTGTCTGGTAAAATTAACTCATCGATGAAAAAGCATGATGGTAATAATGATACTCTGAAGTCTTCGAGCGAATCGCACAACACGACAAAATCAATCACCGCGAAACAATCCAGCAATTCCACATATAGCAGCGTGCGACCTGTTAGTACTTGTGTAAGCAACACTACGCATGAAAACGCGATAAAAAATCCAAGAGATTATACTATCTCAAAGAAATTTTCAAATGAAATAGATTCAAATATAAAAAATTATCCTATCCTATCAGATTACAAGGAAACAATATCCGTAAACAGTCCGGATTACAAGAACTCCAACGTCGCTGGATCAATGACGGCCAATTTGCCGTTAAGATTCGCGACGCAGCAGTCGTCGGCAGCGACACCAGTTATACACAGGGAGACCTACACACCGTCCAGCACGTATAGTTCGAAGTCTGGTTCCTGTCAGAGGAACGACAACAGCGCGTTTGCGGTTGCACGCAAGGCACTGGAACAACAGCAGAACTCGATGCCGAAAATGGCACCGATCAACTTTCCACCACTGCGCGCTCCGCAGAGCATCGTTAACGTGCGACATCCGTTATTAACGGACGCGCGCATCAAGCACGGTAACGAGACGATCAGCAGCGGCATCAGTGGCAGTGGCGGCGTCGGTGGTGGTAGTGGTAGCAAGTCCAAGCTTAATGTCATAGGTTCGCTACAGGGCGGCGGTATAAAGGATCTAAATGGTCACACCGGTCGTTCACAAACCACGTTTCACGGATATGGCACCTCGCCGATTGCTCCCGGCATACCAAGCGTGCAGAATCTAAGTAGTGCGGTGACGGCCAACATTCCACCGTACCCAAGACCGGAACCCTTTCCGCAACCAACAGTCGCAAACGTGCTGTTTTCCGATACGGCTGCACAGTTTCCGCAATCGCCGCCGTTTAACACCACACAAATCAGCCAGCTAAATCAGTATCAGACTTATGACCCAGGAAGTTATCCCACCACGCCGGTCAACGTCAATCCAGTGATTCCACAGTTCTCCGCCGAGAACTCGATTCCATATCCGCAGTACGAGAATCCGGCACAGTTCGTGCAACCGAGTCATTATCCAACCGCTGACATAACTAGTAGTCAATATCAGTATCAGGCGGCGGCAGCAGCAGCAGCAGCAAGTGTAGGTCAGATACAAGACTCATCTATATTCATACAGAGTCTTCAGAGTACAATTGCGGTGACTGATCAGTACGCTACGCCGAATTACGCCAGGACTGTCAGAACGGAGCTGATAACACGGTTGAGAAGACCACCGCGATTTAACAAGTAAAACCGTCAGACCTTTACTTTAGATTTTTTTTTTTTAGGTATTACACGGAAACTTGGGAACAAATGGTCGTACTTTCTTATATTATTATGATTCGTGGATGCTGGATAGAATTTATAAGATAGAGCTTGTCTCTATTTATCCATTCTTTGATGTAAAAATGATTTGTTGACTCCGAAAGATGAATTGATGCGAGTCACCGATTATTTATCGTTGTGTCAAGCGTTTCGCAGATATTTCGCGTGTACGCGAAGTTTGTCAGATTACCTTACTCGCACCAATTGTAAAGGATGTGGTAAAACTTATTTCAATTTATGATCCAGTTTGAAATAAATTTTAGCCAATCTGAGTGAGAGACGCGATCGTCCGAGCGGGCAGATGATACTTTGGCAAATTTACGCAAACACGGTATGCGGACAACGTTCTCACCCACCGTGTCAACGTTGGCACGCATACGTATATTTTAAAGGATGCATTTTACTGTAAGCGAGGTAAAGCAGGATGATTTTGGCTTGTTTCCGTCATACGAACGACACGGCAGGGCATAATGAGTTAAACTTAACTGTAATTTTACGATGTAATGTATTCTATAGCGTGAATTTGCAAGAATGGGGCGATATACAAGAACACGCTATTTACGAAGTTGTACCTAAATCACGACCGCTGTACGCGATCAAGATGGTGGCGTCACGTTTTGATTGAATTAGTTTTTCCGAGTCACGCGCACGAATCCTGAAAAAGGTAGAAGTATTCGAGCGTGGAGAACGGAAGAGCGCTTCAACAGAGAGAGAGAGAGAGAGAAGATAAAAAGAAAGAATAGAGAGAAAGGAATATTGCCCCGCGATACAGACGAGGTAAAATTCTTCTCTCTTTTTTCGATTATCATGTAAGTTCTATAGTTTTAATGAATGATATTCTACAAGCTATACTTTGCATAGAATTAGTGGAAGTTTTCCAATACTTACATAATACTTAGCTTATCGCTATATTTTTAATGTGCTTCACTATTTGTATATGGGGTGGTGGTGTAATGATGTCTGAGATGAGTGCGCGTAAGAGAGAGATTACATGAATTAGGGGAGAGGGATGAAGAAATCGTGAACGAGGCAGAATCGTGTAACGATTTTTATTATCACGTGTAGAACGACGCATATCGTTCAAATTTTGCTCCCATTTACCGCGAAACATTACATCTCCACTAAGCGTATGCACAGTGCAAAAAGAGAAAAAAAAAACAAAAAAAAAGTAGCTTTGCGCGGCGATCCGAGTAGCTAATAACGCGTGATCGCGGATATAAAAAAATATAATCTTTCAGTGGTGTATGTTTTTTCCTTTAGTATAGGTAGCTCATAAACTCATAAGCATCACATATTAATACGCGTGTAAGGATTAATCGTTAAGGATTCCTCATTAAAGTACGCATGTCGAGTCTAAGGTATAGGTCGAATGTGTATCGAATTTTGGATTTGCCTATGTACCAATTAACGTGTCACCGGATGAGACTTTTTATACTAAATGAAAAAGAGTAACATCGCGAATATACAATAGAACACACGCGAAGCGCGTCAGGCGGCGGGACGGCTCGATCGAGAAAGCCGTAAAGGACTTCCGATCCAGTCGTCAGGTGTTGCATTTCACGGATCGTGACATATCCCTTTGATCCGTCGAATAAATTTAGAAACGCGGGGATCCCTGTGAGTTTGATTTCGTCGCGTTTCTAGATTCGTTTAGACTTGTATTTCTAAATTTATTTAAAATTCATTTCAGTCCTAATTCTGATTCATCGTGTTTTCTTATGTACGATGTCCTGAAAACGGAAGAATAAGGGATACGTTGATCGGAATTAGCTAATCGTAAGACTGTAGATTGATTCCCAAGGAATAATTTAGTGGCAAATATATACATTTGTTGTAGCAACAAACAGCATAATCCTTAGTTTTCTTATGATCGGCATTTATTTTCGGTCTCTCATTTTTGTCTTATCAAATTATACATACATATATCTGCGTGTGCATACGCCATTTTGAGTTGCGATGGTTCAGGAATTTTACGGTAAATCATCGTTGATAATCTGTAAGTAGTATATTCTTTTGTACATAGTGCTGTAAAAGTGGCACAGTAAGATAACGAGAGAGAGAGAGAGAGAAAGAGAGAGAGAGAGAGAGAGAGAGAGAGAGAGAGAGAAAGAAAGAGAGAGAATGAAAGAGAGCGAAAGATTTGTTAGTATTATAAGCATTAGAGCCGAGAGCAACGCCGATTAATACTGATTACGATTGTACATATTTCTTTTTCTAAATAAAAATAAAAAAAACAAGGAGGGAATTTCTAATTTCATCGAATCAGTAATATACTAATCATCAATATACTAAATCATAGATGTAAAATATTCTTTCTAGAATATTACTTAGAATCTCCTGAAATCATTCATGGATCTATCGGTATCCGAGATTGATCGGTACTAATTGACGTTGCCAATATGATCGAACTTTATCTTCCCAGTGGAAGATTGGCAAAAATCGACAGAAAATTATAGAAGCGAAATCTTATATGCACACCTCCTTTAAAGGGCATTTTCAGCGCGTTTTTGCAACGTTTTGATGCGCGTACATGAGTACGTTTTGTTTTACATATTGTATTGTTTGTTCATATTGTGTACGGAATGTCAAGCTCATTCTACAATTACGTAAGCGTTGTTGTCAGTGGTTGCAAAAATTGACTCTCCAAATTCAAAATCATAAACTCCAGTAATTAAGGATGAATGAGAATACAGTAAGCGTTGTTGTTGGTACGCACAAAAATAAGAAGTGTGTTTCTTTAAGTTGCTACTTTATTTCACTAAAATAACAAATTTATGTATCAAGTATGTTTCAACTCACTTAATTTTCAGCTCATGCAATTTTAATATTTCTCCTTTGTACGTGTTGTTTGAGTCACATCAGGGATTTATAGATTTGATGTTGTGATCTATGTTGAATTTAAATTGATAATATTGACTAAATTTTTTAGTCACTAGAGTATAAAGAATGATGCATCTCAACAATATAAAAAAGAT